GGTTAATTATTTTTAGTTAAATTGTTTAATTATTTATTTTTAATTTCATTTTGATAAAATTTCCCCATGTCTCGAATTTAAAAAGAATCAAATTTTTTCCAGTCCCTGTGGATTCGACCCTACTTACTACTATACACAGAAAATTTATTTTTCTTAAGCAGGTATTTATTATTGCACAGGCACGACACCTGTCACCTGGTGTTTATATCTTCTACACCCAAGGCTGCAATATTTGAGTTTTTGGCTAAAATAATCTATTTTTCAAAAAATAATCCCAAAGTAATGCTCTTTCAGTTTTTATTCCCTTATTAATCTAATTATTGCCATGTAGACTCTCCATCAAAGGAAAAAAATAACTTATAAATCTTTTGTTTATATATTACACAGTTTTTCTTTATTTAGTGCCTTAAGGACATTCTGTAAACATATTACAAAAGGAAAGTGGATCCATAATTAGTGTTTTAAAATTGTTGATCACCCTCCAAATTGCAATGATTTTGTCAAAGAACTTTTTTTTTTCTGCCATTATTCCTCCCTAGCTTTGTTCTTGATTATTATATCACAAGTTCCTTTCTTTTTTTTCTTCTTACTTGCAATTATATATATGGTAGTCTCCTAACTTTGTAAATTTTAAGAAGTTTGCAAAAACTCAAATTGTTTGAAGTACGAGTAAACATTTCAAGATACATAATAATCATAGTTTACATGAACTATAAAAATTCCACTATAAGGGGAAAGAAAATTTGAAAAAAATTCTCTTGCATTTTTTGACTTATCAAAAGAGAATACATTTCAAAAAAATAGGAGAGAGAAAATATAACTAGATCAGTGTTAGTATCAAAATTAACACGCTATATGAGCCAATCTAATTTGAGAAATACTAATTAACTCAATAATAGATAGAGAAATATTTTTATTTATCTTTAAGATTGTACATAAGTAGCAAAATTTGAACTATTGAAAGGTTATTAAAAATCTATTGACGTGGATTGTATCTTTTAATATAAGATGGAAATGTGAATACTTTCCATACTCAAAGTCCACATGGGAACAAGTAGGTTAACAAGGGAATATATTTTGAAAGTGCATTAGTTTGGGAATAGTTTTAAAGAATGAGGTTATTGTGGAAATAAACTCTGCAATATTTAGTTTTCAAAACTTTCAAACGTATATTCTTATGTAACATATAATTTCAACGATAGTTAAGAATATGTCCTTGAAGTTTGAGCAAAAACATTAATGAATAGTTTCTATCCGAATAAAAAATTAATGAAATATATTTTTACATCTATCTGTATTGCACAAGAGGTAGGGAAGGATAACATTTGATGCTTGCTGTGCTTTTAGTATTTCTTTAGATATTTTTTTTGGAGCTTTGTTTAAATTTTTTAATATATGTTAAGGGTTTAGATAAGGTACATAAATACAATATAGATTAGATACTAAAATAGTACTTTTTAAATTTTTAACCTTTTTCATGTAACTAATATAACTAATTCATTTCCAACGCACGGAATAAAAGAAATATATTAGTTAACCTTCATAATTTATTTTTTAACCTTTCAAATTTAATTTTTTCAAAAATATATACCCCGACAATAATATATAAAAACAAACTACTAGCCACGTGCATGTTAGTGGTTTTAGCCTTGTATTTCAAATTACTACATGTACCAAAATATATTTATATAGGGATTACTATATTAACTGTGGGTGTTAACAACAATTCTATTGGTACTTAATTTTCTTTTGATTAGAATACAATTGTATATTTGATCATTGATGCTATTTCTTCTTTAACTATTGTATTTCTTTGGTTAACAATTCTCATACAATGTATAACATCATTACATTTAAAACAAATACAAAAACTATTGATTGTTAGTTTAATATATATTTTAATGCATTTCTAGATCAAAGAAATGAAAATTCTACCTCTCATCAAGTTCCACAACCATCGATATCACCAATGATCCAGCGTGATCATGGTAAATATAAAGTTTCTTATATCATTAAACTCATCTTGCAATTACACTTTTTGCTGCATTATCTTGCTAAATCAACTGTTTACATGACATAATATTAGATGGAATATATAATGACTCAACAATTATTGAAGTTCCCCTCACACCAACGTCGCCATGTAATAGCCATAACGATGGTAAGATCTAGGTTTCTCGCTTATTTTTAACACATAATTAACCATTACCATTGCATTTTCAACTCTATTAATGTAACTTATACACCTTATTTCTATATTTACTGTTGATGATATAATGTTTATGAATTATTAAAATTATGCAGACTCATCTGAAGATCATTTGTTCCTGCTACGCAAGACGTTGTGTCTGTTAACATAGTTACAGCAGAACAACACGATGCTGTGCCTGCTAACATAGTTACAGTAAAACAAATTGGTAATGTTCTTATACTTTTCTCATGTAATTATATTTAATATTTTTTTAAATATGATATTAAGTACACAAATTAAGGGTGCTCATGGATCAAATAATCAATTCATTTCTAATTTACCTAACCATACCCTTCCTCAATTCGAATGGTTACTTAGTGACCGGTTAATCTATAACATAGGGTTAGATTTACAAGGTAATATATCCTTCTTCCAAGAAAAAGAAAAAGAAAAATATTTAGATTGACAAATCCAAAAAAACAACAGTTTTAAATTGAATAATTTTATTTAATTTTACAACTCTACAAAATCATTAATACGAAATAGACTTGCAAATCAAAAAGTACAAAAATTATCAAATCAATAATATCATTTAATCTTACAAATCTAAAAAATCATTAATATAAAATAGACTTGCAAAACATAAATTATAATATTTTTCAAATCAATAATATTGTTTAATTTTACAACTCTAAAATATCTTGAATACAAAATAGACTTGCAAATCGAATAATACAACATTTCCGAATCAATAATATTATTTAATCTTACAACTCTCAAAATCATGAATACAAAAGAATAATAATGCATCAAAATACCAAATATTTAAAAGATTTGTTCTTATTTTGTCCATTTGTTGCCACCTATCATTTTTTTTAATAACGATGGTAGGTTGCTCCATTAATTTTGAATTTCGTATGTACTTAATTCTCAAGATAATGGTGATAGGTTGTTCAACCAACGAATCAATTCATGCAAAGATCGTACATTTTCATTTGTAGAAATTCAATAGAATTAATTAAATCACCAATTTTGGCGTCGTACTAAAAGTTGATTGATGTGAAGAGTGTTCGTACATTCATGCAAGATTATCAAATCGAATGCATAATATTTGTAAGCACTTCATTTTAACAACATTTAATTACATTCATTTTTATTCATATATCATTCATTTTCTAATATAAATTTCTATTATTTTTTTTCAGATCTATCTTCCGAAAAAATGCAGTTTTTGAATAATATACACATTCTATCATATTTCAAACTATTATTTGACAGATATTACATTTTAATTGTGTTGGTACAATTTTTTAATCTTTTTTAATTCACCCTTTTATTTTTATTTTTTTCAATAATGTCAGCACCGTGCGTAGCACGGGTATTCACACTAGTATCAAAATAAAGGGGAAGAGGATAACTTTTTCTGTGTGACAAATACTTTCTTTTAAAGAACAAAAGGTTTTCCATGTTATGCGGTAGCTTTTCCAAGGTGAATGTCTACTTGCTTTTTTTTTTTTTTTTTTTTTTTTTAGCACAACACGATATGGAGGAAATTAAAAGGAGAGCAAATCTTAATGTCATAAATCAACCAAAAATTATCAAACAAGCAAATCTTTTGCATTATCCTCGTTAAAGAGGCCTTATAGAGTTGTAAAATATAGGTATATTGATGAGCAACAGTTCCCCGGTGGTGTAATTTGGTGTTTACTGTGATAGGGTAACTAAGTATCATTTGCCCGCTATCAAGAAGGACAAACCAAGTAAGAACCACAGTTATCAAATATCAAATACTTCTCCAATATGCTAAATGCCAAGAAAATTAGGTGTGGTTAGTAATTGATATTAACTTGCCTGATGTCATTGCATAATTATATTTCTTTTTGTTTATAAGTTTATTGTCTATCAATTCACATGTTACATGTAGTGTGTGCCTTTTCTTTTTTGCTAAATGGTGAGCTAGGTAGTACCTAGAGTTAACTTACATGCATCTCGAACTAATTCACCTCCTTGACTCAAAAAGCCTAATAAGCAAAGACTTAGAAATTGAAAGTGGAGATTCAAAGCTTGACAAATTTGCTTTACGCTGTACTACTTGTCTTGGTTGGTAAGCTCCAGATAATAGAAACAAGCTCTAGAAACTAATCTACTCTGTTGCCATATGTGTCAAAAACCATCAATATGTCATTCAATGTTAGAAATTTTCAAAATTTGTATCTAGTGATTCTAGGATGTACATACATGTATTGTACCATAAATCAATTGATTCAAAAATGTACATACATTGTGATAAATGTATATTCATGTATGTGAGAATTCTTGAATATAATGATAGATTCATGTCTTTGACCATAAAATTATGTGATGCTTGAATTTAAGTACATGAATTTGTATACAATACCTTGAATATGTTCATATAAGTATTTATTAAGTTCATTTGTTTCTTAAACAATCTCTCCTATATAAAGAGGACAAGTAGAAGGTATTTTGCTGCAGAAAATCACTTTTCTACTACTTTGAATTCTCTAAAAAAACACTCTTTAGTTTAAAAGGGTTTGTCTTACTTTGTGCAAGAGTTTAAGATAAACAAACTTCATCTTATCCTAAAGGATATTTGTTAAAGGTTATTACACATTATACCGGATATACAATCACGATTTAAAACCAATTCTTGTTACTTTGTTTGCCAGTTCATTGTAATACCATCAACATTTAAAAAAAAAAAAAAGAAAAAAAACCATGGGTATATATGGGCTTTGGCAGCTGTTTCTGAAGTTTCTGCCTTTCAACTGCTATGTATATATAACAGACTGCGAATTATTGATGTCTTCCTCTTCCATATCTTCTGAATTCTGATCATACTCGAAAGCTTCACTAAATCTTTTAGTCAAAGCGCCCAGAGAAAGCCTGTAATAATGCCTGAGCCTGCTATGGAGTATCCCATCAAAACCATACTCGTTTTAGTCCAAGAAAATCGATCATTCGATCACATGCTAGGATGGATGAAGTCCCTGAATCCAGAAATTGACGGTGTAACTGGAACCGAATCGAACCCCTTATCAACCTCTGATCCCGACTCAAACCGCATCTATTTCGGCGATCAATCTGGCAATGTCGAGCCAGATCCAGGCCATTCATTTGAAGCAATATATGAGCAAGTTTTTGGTGTGCCGTGGACTGGTGGTCAATCCTCAACATCTTCAGCCTCCCAAAACCTTCCTCCTACAATGGAAGGCTTTGCACAGAATGCTGAGAGGATACAGAAAGGGATGGCTGAGATAGTAATGAATGGATTCAGACCAGAGTCATTGACAGTTTACAAGGAGCTGATTTCAGAATTTGCTGTTTGTGACAGATGGTTTTCGTCAATTCCTACTTTAACACAACCAAATAGGCTATTTATCCACTCTGCTACATCTTATGGTGCCATTGCAAATGATACCAAGATGCTGATTCAGGGATACCCTCAGAAAACAATTTTTGAGTCCCTGGAAGAGTGTGGTTGCACTTTTGGGATTTATCATCAGTACCCTCCGTCCACACTTTTCTTCAGGTAAGTATGAGTTGTTTTTGATGCAATTTTTTCTCCCTTAATTAACTTATTTCTGAAATTCTCGCAGTTATTTTCTTTTTCCCTCTGGCCGCTTTGCCTTTTTCATTGTTGGGGCCAATTTGTCAACGTATGGTCTTTGGCTGCTTTTGAAGATTTTGGGGGAAACTTTTTCCACAGTAAAGAAAGTTAAACATTTCTGTCTTTGTGGTCTATGCATTGCCCCGTGTACAATTGACTCTCTCATTGGGACGAATTAGAAATGATGCTTTAATCAGATTAATGACTTTAAGCAGCCCCTTCTCTGTACACTGATTTAATAGCCACCTAACTAGGATAATGATTGAATTAGATGGACTTAATGCAAAAGTCTTTTTAAGGGTCTTTATGCATTGCATTATTTTCTGCAAATCGGCAAGGTTACATTGTGATATGAGACTAAGTGAATTGAATTCTTTTTTTTCTTAAGCTCCAAATGCCTGTTACTAAACTTAGTTGAGCAGGTAGAGCCTAGAGGATGTGCTTTCACTAGTAGATTCAGTCTAAAGGAATAGTATAATGATGTGATTACATGATAGTTGGTAGAGACTGATGGATAAATCCAAAGCAGGCGTCATCGTCAATGTAAATTGGGTCAAAAAAAGCTTGCACTTCTATGATTTTTTTTTTTTTTGAGAGATGCACTTCTGTCATTTTATAATGCACTATGCACCAGCTGATGAGGATTTTCTTTATTGCTACATAAAATAGAATTAGCTTAGTTTTTGAGGCCATCCCGATGATAATGGTTGTAATTTATTAAAATGTGTGATTCATGAACTTAATTAAAGTACCTCTTTTTTTCATCGCTTGTTATCTCTGCCAATTTCAAATATCAAGACAATTACACATTCTTGAGGGTTCTTCGGCATCAAATGGCATTCATAAAAAAGGATTACATTGTACCAGTTGTATGTAACTGGCATCGGACAGCTGATGCATCTATGACAACTCTTTTAAAGAAGTTAAAAGACTAGCTATCACACTATTCCGGATATGTTGTCACCTAAAAGGTAAATTAAAATAGGACCATATTGGTATTAGGCAGTGATAAGAAAATGATGCTATTACTACTCGTGCAGGATTGAATATCCATAGATAATTGGATGAGCTTGTTCAAATTCTCTCTCACAAAACGTACTTTGCTTCTATTTATCAGAAATCTTAGAAAGTTGAAGTACACAAAAAACTTCCATCAGTTTGATATAGACTTCAAGAGGCATTGCAAGGAGGGTAAACTACCAAACTATGCAGTAGTTGAACAGAGATATTTTGAAACAAAACTCGTACCAGGGAACGATGATCATCCACCACATGATGTCTCTGAAGGCCAGAAATTTGTGAAAGAAGTCTATGAAGCAATAAGGTCAAGTCCCCAGTGGAATGAAATGTTGTTCATTATCATCTATGACGAACATGGGGGATTTTATGATCATGTTCCAACTCCTGTCACCGGAATTCCAAGCCCAGATGACAAAGTAGCTCCTGCACCCCATAATTTCAGGTTTGATCGCCTTGGCATTAGGGTTCCAGCTATTCTGGTTTCTCCCTGGATTGAACGTGGAACTGGTATGTTAAGCATTAACATTTTGTACTTGATACTTTAGTGCTTAGACATATAGTTTTGTACTTAATGTTGTTCTGGTCAAGTTGTTAACCAGCATAAATGTAACATATTGGCAAAGCAGTGTTACATGGGCCATCAGGGCCATATCCTACATCGGAGTTTGAACATTCATCAATTCCAGCCACTGTTAAGAAGATTTTCAATTTAAAAGAGTTCTTGACAAAGAGAGATGCATGGGCAGGCACTTTGGAATGTGTTCTGAATAGGGGCAGCCCCAGAAGTGATTGTCCAGGTAACCCTTCATAATCCTTTTTCTTGCATAAAATATTTGGCAAATGATATTACCTATAGTTGGTATTTTAATGTCAATATAATTTTCTTTTAAAATGATTAATTTACCCCTTCACTAGTCAAAGATTGGGTTCACATTAAATTTGTCAAATTTTCAAGAAAATTGGCATCAAGAGACTTGCCAAAACATTTTCATTGTTTCTTTTTTATTTCATTAGATTTTAAAACGTATAAACTGGAAACAGGGGTCAAAACACTAGATCACTATCAACCACAAGCTCCTGCTAACACAAGCCCCTAGTACAAACTTAAGCTCCCAAAATCCAACACTTTATCAAAAGACTGTTTTTTCTGATTTCCTACTTCAAAATTAGATGGAGAATTATTAGCTCACAGAATTCAAGCTGAATTAGTAATCATCAAATTTCTCGACATTCTAGAAAAAAGGGAGGAGAAATATTCTACGGAACAGGATAGTCAGAAAAAAAAAAAAAAAAAAGAGTTCTGCAGGTCGAAAATTTGACTCTAAAAAAAATGTTTGCAATGATACATGATGACAGTTATGTTGCCGGAGCCAGTAAAATTAAGAGATAGGGAAGCCAATGAAGAATCAAAGCTGAGTGAGTTTCAAGAAGAGTTGGTGCAATTGGCTGCTGTATTGAGCGGAGATCTTGCAAAGGACATCTATCCACAGAAAATACTGGAGAATATGAAAGTCATTGAGGCTGTAAACTATGTTGAAAATGCATTCCAGAAATTCAGAGACGAATGTGATAACGCCTTCAAGACTGGAGCCGATGAATCTAATATTGTTTGTGCACCAAGTCCACCACCCGAAAAGCATCGATCGAAATCCTTAGCTCATAAAATCTTGTCATGCATTGCCTGTCACCGTTGATTCATGGTCTGCGCATGTAAAGTAATTAATCCAAATGCACCCATTGGACACTGAATTGGGTTTTGTTGGGCAATTTTGCAGCCTATGGAGAATGAGCTCTCTCATATGTGGTTTGGCAATTGTTGGTAGATTCGTGGTTTTGACTATGAATTCGGACTTATACCCCCTATAGCACCAAAACATAACAAAAAAAGACAATTTTTTTTTGATTACTAATCTAGTTTATTGAGTAAAGAAAAATTACGATACTAGTTATATGTTATTTTTAGTACCATGGACTAATGTATTACAAGATTACAAAGTAATCGCGAAAATATCCATTTTTGTTGAAAAGTAAAATACAGCATGCATTGGTTATCAAGACATAACTACGCAAGGACAGTCTTGTGCACAAAAAAAACAGAGGCCATCAAAAGCTACCCAAGAAGGATAGGCCTCGGGTGGTAGATCAAGATTAACTGGAACTGATTGAAGGCTATTGGCTATTTCGCTGGTGCTATTAGAACATGAACGTGAAAATGGTTAAGCTGTCAATTAGTTTGTTGCGTATACAAGCTGCTGAAATCATTAGTTAGTTAGTTATGGAAATGGCCGCTGCCTCAGTAGGCTATCCACCGCCTCAATGGCTGTATAAATAGAAGCAGTAGGAGAAGGAAAATCATCATCTGGATTGAAACAAGAGTTCCTCGTTCATTTATGTATATTTCTCTGTCCTTTCATCATCAATACAATAATTCCTTATGCTTATGAATTGCTGCTCGATTATTTTGCAATTCCTGAGTTAAGGAATCTTGATCTTTACTGCTTTCTGCATTAGTGGTATCAGAGTTGGGTTATCCAGCTCAGAGGTCAGAGATGGCAGAAGACACTAGATCACATGACAACAGAAAACTTGGAAGAACACGTAAAGGCCATGTTGAGAGAGAAACAAGATCAATTTGAGAAATAAATGACGGCACTAAGGAATCTGAGTTGCATACGCAGAAAAATCAGACGGAAGGGAACTCTTCTCCTCAAAATTCTGGATCTTTTGGGGTTAATGGAGGTAACTATCAGATTCCAACACGATTTTCTAGACTTGATTTTCCCAAATTTAATGGGGAGGATTTTAGAGGTTGGCTGTACGAGCAGTTCTTTGAGGTGGATGAAACTCCACCTGCTTTGAAGGTAAAAATGGCAGCAGTGAACTTGAAGGGTAAGGCTCTGCAATGGCACCAAGTCTACATGAAGTCCAAGTTGACTCGAGAGGACCTTCGTCGGAGGAGTATATCAGGGTATTATCTTCAAGATTTGGAGATTATCTGTATGATGACCCAATAGGAGAACTGAAGGAATTAAAGCAAATTGGTACTGTGTTAATGTACCAGGAACAATTTGAAAAGTTACTCAACAGGATAGATTTACCTGAAGATTATGCAACAAGCTGCTTCTTAAGTGGGTTAAAACCAGAAATTCAGCTGGCTGTTTAGATGTTCATGCCCAAGAATGTGGCCCATGCAAGCGCGCTTGCAAAGATAGAGGCGGCAAGGCTGAATATGCAATAGAAGGCCAAAGTCAACACCAAGGTATCTCCTAATCTCTCAGATCTTGTTAGCAGTATGCATCAACCCTATTATTGGAAGAATAATAGTTGTACTGGGTCTTCTAATCACCAATGGAGGAAGAATGCTAGGCCCTTATTGCCTACCCCTTCTATGCCTGCCCTACCTAGTACTGGGAGGGGTAATGAGGAGTTGGAATGAAAATCTCACAGAAGGCTAACTTGAGCAGAAATGGATGATAAGCGGGCTAAGGGATTATGCTTTTGGTGTGATGAAAAATTTGGCATGGGGGCATAGACGTGGCAATAAACAGTTCCATAGATTGGAGATTTGGGATGACCAGAGGCATGTTTATGAAGAAAAGGGGAGTGAGTCTATGGAAGAGGAAGTTGATGATGGAGAAACCAGGGGAGGTAATTTGGCACACATTTCAATCAATGCTATGACTAGCATGGCAGTGCCAAATTTTAGAACTTTGAGGATCACAGGCCACGTGGGCAAACGATCAGTGAACGTACTCATTGATTGTGGTAGTTCCCATAACGTCATCCATCCTAATGTAATACAGAGGTTGGGGCTAAAAGTACAGAGAGTAATGCCTTTGGTGGTAGAAGTTGCAAATGGAAATAAGCTTACCACTAATGAATTGTGTTCCAACTTTATCTGGAAAATGCAAGGACGAGTTCAAAACTGATCTACTGGTACTACCAATGAAAGGGTGTGAAGTGGTTCTGGGAATTTAGTGGTTAAGCACTATTGGAGACATTAAGTGGAATTTTGGAGAACTTAGAATGGAGTTCCTGCAGAATGGTCACAGAGTAGTATTGAGAGGAATGAAGCAATTGGGATTGCAGTTGATCAAGAAGAAAAAAATGCAACAAGTTGCTTGATCAAGGCAGTTGTTGATCACACTGAAGAAAATGTTGACATTCTTGCTATAACTACTACACATAAAGGTGATCAGGTATAAGAAGGGTCTGCATTAGATTAGTTGCTAAAGGAATATGATGATTTGTTCCAAGAACCTACAGAATTGCCCTCAAAAAGGCTGCATGGTCATAGAATACCTCTTAAGGAAGGCACTCACCCTATCAGTGTCAGGCCTTATAGGTACCTAGCCTTTCAGAAGGGGGAAATAGAAAGATTGGTTACTAAGATGCTTGAAAGTGGCATTATCAGACCAAACTCAAGCCCTTATTCATCACTTGTTGTGCTAGTTAAGAAGAAGGATGGCTCATGGAGGATGTGTATTGATTATAGGCAACTAAACCAAGCTACTGTCAAGAACAAATTCCCAATTCCACTGATTGAAGAGCTGTTGGATGAGCTAATTGGTGCTAAATATTTTTCTAAACTAGATCTTAGATCTGGTTATCATCAATCAGAATGTGCCCAGAGGATATTCATAAGATAGCTTTTAGGACCCATGATGGTCATTATGAATTTTTAGTTATGCCATTTGGTCTCACAAATGCTCCTTCTTTCCAGAATCTCATGAATGATGTTTTCAGGTCTTTTCTCAAAAAATTCTTGTTGGTCTTCTTCGATGGCATACTGATAGATAGTCAAATATAGAAAGATCATATGATACATCTCCGGAAGGTTTTTGAAACTTTGAGAGCTAATACTTTAAAGGTTAAATTGAGTAAGTGCGCTTTTGCAAAGCAGTAGATTGATTACTTGGGACATGTGATTACTTCAGAAGGAGTACAAGCAGCCCCCAAAAGATAGCAGCTATTCAATCTTGGCCTATACCTCAGAATGTCAAGGGGCTAAGGGGTTTTTTTAGGCCTCATAGGATATTACAGAAGATTTGTACAACATTATGGGAGAATCGCTAAGCCTTTGACTGAGTAACTTAAGAAGAACCAATTTCAGAGGAGTAATGCAGCAATGCAGGCTTTTTAGGAATTGCAAAAAGCCATGAGTAATCCACCTGTACTAGCATTACCAGATTTTAACCAAGTATTCACTGTTGAGATTGATGCATCAAGAACTGGGATAGGGGCAGTCTTAGTGCGAGGGAAGAGGCCTATTGCTTTCTTCAGCAAGGCATTGTCTCCAACTCATCAGGCCTTATCTGTGTATGAAAATGAAATGCTAGCAGTGGTGACTGCTATAGAGAAATGGAGGGCTTATTTGATTAGCAGACATTTTACAGTCAGAACAGATATCAGAGCCTCAAGTACATTCTGTAACAGAGGATTCACACTCCTTTACAACAGAAATGGATAGCTAAACTGATGGGATATGATTATATAGTGCAGTATAAAAGGGGCAATGACAACATTGTTGCTGATGCCTTATCCAGGAGATCTCATGTGGAAGGGCAATTGCATTCCTTAGTCACATTTACTTCCTCTTTGATTGTTGACATCCAGAACAGCTAGCAGAATGATAAGCAGTTGCAGGATATTATTCAGAACTTGTCTGTAGGGCACCAGTGCCATTAACATTATACATGGAGTCAGGAGCTTCTTAAGAGGAAGGGCAATTGCATTCCTTAGTCACATTTACTTCCTCTTTGATTGTTGACATCCAGAACAGCTAGCAGAATGATAAGCAGTTGCAGGATATTATTCAGAACTTGTCTGTAGGGCACCAGTGCCATTAACATTATACATGGAGTCAGGAGCTTCTTAAGAGGAAGGGCAAGTTGGTAATTGGAGATGATCCAATTTTGAAACATAAACTGATGGAATTATGGCGTTCTAGTGCACAAGGTGGTCATTCAGGAATGGAAGTGACTTATAAAAAGTTGAAAAGCGTGGTCTATTGGAAACATTTTTTCAGGGATGTTGCCAACTTTGTTGCAGCTTGTGATATCTGTCAGAGGTCCAAACCAGAGAATTCCTCTTATTTTGGTCTTTTGCAACCACTCCCCATTCCACACAGGGTTTGGACAGATATTTTCATGGATTTCATTGAAGGTTTGCCCTTATCCAAGGGAAAAAATATCATTTTAGTGGTAGTGGACAGGCTTAGCCAATATGCACATTTCTTGGCTTTAGCCCATCCATATTCAGCTATTACTGTGGCTCAGCTATTCTTGGATTAAATTTGTCATTTGCATAGTTTGCCCCAATCCATTGTGAGTGACAGGGATACCACATTCCTTAGTAATTTTTGGCTGGAGCTTTTCAAGCTTCAGCAGTTTCGAGTTCATATCATCCTCAGAGTGATGGACAAATTGAGGTGGTCAACAGATGTCTCGAGCAATACCTGAGATGTATGACCAGTGATCAACCTAAGCAGTGGAGCCTGTGGTTATCTTTAGCAGAATATTGGTACAACACCAACTTTCACACTTCTACCAAATTCACCCCCTATGAAGTGGCCTATGGTCAGGCAGCACCGATTCATGTACCATACCTACGTGAAGCAGCCACAGTCGAATCAGTAGACAGAAGTCTTAAGGCTAGAGAGATGTTGATGCATCAGTTGAAGCATAATTTGGCCAAAGCCCAGCATAGGATGAAGCAACTGGTCGATAAGCACAGGACTGAGAAGCAATTAACATTGGTGATTGGGTTTATATTAAATTGCAACCATACAGGCAGCACTC